AAGGCCAGGGCTGCGGAGAACGCAGCTGACCCAGACCGCGCCGCCCAGCCAGGGGCGGCCTCTCCACGGCACCCTGGCCTGGCCTGTCCCCGCCCTGCCTTCAATTCAGAGCTCCGAGGACATAAATAGGTTTTTGTTTACTCAGGCCTGGGAGCAGCTGGCAGAAAAGGCCTTTTCAGCTTAAAGCTCCTTAAACTCCTGAAGGTGTGAACTGGCAAGTCTGCAGCAAGAGCCTTCAGCAAGAGCCTTCTGCCGGGTCACCTCGGCATGTGGCTCTGAGGCCCGTCACCCCACTTTGGAAGGAGAGCAGCAGTAGCCCCCATAAGACAGAACTTCGTGACTTGCTGTCAGGCTGGGAATTCTCGTCTGTTGCAGGGGGTGGCCACGGAGCATATCCCAGGGCCAGACATACCTCGGGCCCGCTTTTGCTCACTCCCTTCTCTTGGGGGGGGGGGGCGGCGGTCATCAAGGGCTGCTCCTTGGCATGGACACCCTGGTCCCTGTCTCTGCAGGTCAGAGCTCAGGGTGGTGATGCCAGGGAGCGGGCCCCGACGCCCAGACAGGCAGCTGCCAAGCACAGAGCCACAGGCAGAGGGGGACGCGCTAAAAATGAAGCGGTGAGTCACCATCAGAGCTGTGTCCTTCGGGGACAGTGGCTGTGGCTCCTGCCGGGGACTGAGCGGGTGCCAGGTGGGAAAGCCCCCCAGGCAAGACCCCAGGAGGAGGATGGCACCCCAGCTCTGTGGCCCCGTCAGCACCTTCCGTCCCGTGGGCTGGCCTTGAATTCCAAGCAGCAGCTTGGCTCACTGGTCCTTGGGAACTAATAAAAGAGGAGCATCGAGGACAAGAGAGAGTGTCCCTGGCCTCTGCCTGCCTCTGCTGAAGTTCTTCCGGGGGCCATTTGAGAGGCTAAGTATATTTGACCACTGTTACTTCTGGATTTCCCTTCAGGTAAACAATATCTGCAAATGATGATTTAGCTCACCTATCAGCATTTCTCTGGTCCTTAAAAAGAAAATGCTCATGCTTGTGTGTAAGCATAAATAGATGTGAGTCTATGTTTAGAATCTGGGCTGTTCTGTTACTTTAACGACAGCGAGGCAAAAAGGGCCTGGATTAGGAGCAGGAGCTGGTGAAGCCTGGGAATTTTCACTGGCACTGTGCCTCAGGGCTCAGTCTAAAACCAGCGTGCCTGCAGCATACTTGAGCTATATTTAATCCTGGTATATTTAATCCCTTTATTATTATCCCCATTTAGGGATGGAGATGCAGGCACAGAAAGGGCAGGCAAACGGCCCAAGCTACACAGCTCAGAGACGGTCGAGCTGGGATTCAGAACCTGGCAGCTTGAGCTCCCTGAAGGTGGTAGGCTGGGCGCTCTCTCCCTACACGGTGGTTTGAAGAACCCATACTCCCATGGGCCCAGCCAGGGGTGTTCCTCACTTCTTCCAGAAGCCCCCGACCTCCACCCACATCGGGAATTTGAAGACAAATACATGCAATTCCTCGAAACAAGAACAGGCCCAGAGTGGTAAGCTAACAGGTCTGTGTTCTCTCTGGGGTTTTGACTTCAGCACAGGGGACTGGACAGACCCTTGTTCCAGACAGGCCCTGCAATGATAACTGAAAAGGACTCCGGTGGAGGGTTTAAAGGCCAAGCCCTGCTGTGTGAGTTCAGGCAAAACAATTAGCCTTTCTGTGGCCCCTCCCTTGTGGCACAACGGGTTAAAACGCAGCACTATGAAGCCATCCCCAGCCGCTGCCAGGGAGCTCACCCACACGGCATGGCAGACCTCCTGGCCCTCCCACTGCTCCCCTCAGCAGTGTATTTCAGTCAGTCGGCCTGCTCTGCTCCCCAGTCTGTCTCTGGTGAATCCTCTCACTCCCTGCACGTCTGGCCTGTACCCCAGTTCTTGTATGCATAGATAAATAAATCTTAAAAAAAAAAAAAACAACCTTTCTGTGCCTCTGTTTTCTCATCTCTAAAGACCACATACCTCTCCACATTTGCCCATTTTTCCAGACCATGACATTAAGCACGAAGGAATAATGGGTCCCTCCACAAGTCCCTTTAAGTGACCAGTCAGCACCCCCAGATGTCATGGGAGAGGCGCAGTCCTCTGGGTGGGTGGAGAGTCCACTCCCCCTCCTTGCTGGGTGTGGGTGCTCACCCCCAGGAGACTGAGAGACACAACCTGCCCAGGGGTGGGCAGCTGTTTCCAGCACGGTTGGTAAATAAAGAAGTGACCAGTGACCCATCACCACGTCACATGGGCAGTGTCTGCCGTCAGCTCATCCTGGGCCTTTGGGGGTCTTTGGCAGATTCTCCCAGATGGGCCTGTTTGCTTTGGCATTCTCTCTGCAGCTCACAGAAATGCCTCATCGCCTGGACTGTCTTCCTCTGCCTCCACCCTAAGCCAGATAAAGTCTCGGGATCAGATAAAGTCCAAACCCCGCAGCAACATACACCAGTCTCTGCAAATCTACTAACCCCGGCCACAGGCCAAGGACCCTGGCTCCTCCTGGCTTTGCCAGCCTGACATTGCAGGCTGCCCTTTCCTGCCCAGAGTGGCCAAGAGCGTCCATACACCCAAAGCCCCTCCTGGCTCCAGCAAATTTATGGAAATTTCAGCCTTTTCTCCCCTCTGTGACATTTGCAGACCATCTGGCACTGTGAGAAGGAGATGATCCCACAGAACCAGCTTTCAGTCCAGGGACGCGCAGCCCGCAGCAATGCATCCGAGTAGGTCGGAGGTCGCGGTCACCGGGGTCGTGTATGCTGGCCACTAGCCGGCTGCTTGACATTTGCAGTCGGTCATGTTTTTCCTGCTGCTGGGTGTATACACATCTCTGACGTTCTCCATCAAGGAGAGTCCATTTCTGAGGCCGTGTGTGGGCACAGGGAACTTTCCAGGACCCGAGGGGACACAGTCACTTAGACACTCGTGGAAAGTGTGACTGGCATGGGGCCAGGTTCAGAGGCCAGTGAGATACTTGCTCAGGCACAGCCTTTAAGGCAGAAGTGACCACAAATGCTATTTTCCTGCAATATATTAAAGTTTAAACATGCAAAAATAACAAGTGAACCAAATATCAACCTTTGAGAGTCAGGAAGCCTTTCAGTAACACAAGTCTGCCCCATGCCTCACTGAGCTCCCGCCCAGGGCTCCCTGAGCGTCCGCCCACGCGCGTCCGTCTGTGCTTCTGCTCACCATTGTAGAGCCCGCCTCGGGCCTTGGGAAGCAACCAGGTGAGGATCTGCACAGCAGCGTGCAGGTGCTACCAAGGTGGCCTTTCTTCTGCGGACTCGGCTGGGTGTGCATTTGGGGAGAAAGTGACTTGAAAGCTTCATGTTCTGAAAAGAAAGGCCACCATCTTCATCCCCTGACATCCCACTTCCGGTCAAGTGGCCTGAGGGCTGAGGAAGGCCTATCTTGCCTAAGACTTGAGACAAAGGGAGTCAGTTCTGTTTTTTTTCCCTCCAGATTCTTCCAGTTATTCAATCTTCTAGCTAATTCTGCTTGGACATGGGTTGTCAATGGGTTTTGAAGTCCCCTGTGGCAGGTCCCTCTGGGTCCCAGCAGGCTCATAAAGTGACTGACCAGCCAGTTGTCCATAGTCCCTAACTGCCCCTCCCCTCAGGCTAATGCCACTTCCCAGAGCCTTCTTGCTGGAATACCCCAGAGATTAACGGCCCCACCTCCAACTCCCCCACTATTCTTACTTGAAGCACATTGTTAGTTTCCCGGTTAGAGCACAGTTTTGCTTCCTGGACTGACTAGTTCTCTTCTAGACCCCAGAGATCTCAGCCGCTACTTGAGGCTGGCTGGTTTGGGGCTGAGCCCTGGGCTTCAGGCACAGACTCTCTGAAGACCCTCCCAGTGTGGGGTTCTGAAAAGTGGAGCCCAGCAAACCAAGTCAGAGGGAAGCCCGACCCCACACCTCCTTCTCCCCCATTCCTCCCTCTCCCAGCCACCT